ACACTTCACCCTTGATGAACTTGTTGTTCTCGTCTTGCATGAAATCCCACATTTTCTTGTACAGCGGTACCGTTGAATCCTAGAATTTCTCGGATTCTACGCCTAAGTGAAATTGCCGAGGGGCTGACCTCAAAAAATGCTGCCGTCGAGCCGCCTTTCACCACTCCGTAACGAATTTTTTTCTGATTCGCAAGATCCTCAACAGATTCTATCGGCGGTGTCATTTTCTCTGAAACGATTTCGTAGCTGTTTGTCATCCACAGTGGCAAGCTTTTCTACGAACATATTAATTTAGGAGGTATGACTGCGAATTTTCTTAAGTACGGGCCTATCCCAGTCGAATTTAAATATAGAAAGAATTGTCCTAAATTCTTCTCGAAAAGCCATAGAGTAGTAGCCTGTAAGCTGTTCATCTTTAGACGAATTGGAAGCACATGAATGGATTAACAACAACAAAATGGAATTAGTGCGAAGACTACAGTACTGAGCTGGAAGGGAGGTGGAGAGGAGGTGAATGTAGAGTAGTAGTTAGTGGTGCAATCCCTCGCGAAGGAAAATTCTGGTTCCACCCTCTCCCAACGGAACCTCTCAATCCACGTGAGGATGCTTAACTCAGTTATCGCCGAAACTGCAAAGGAAATCCACTCAACCAGCATTCTACGGCATTCATAGAGAATACGAAATCCTCAAACAGCAGGCGAAACAATACGCGAACTTTCCCAAGATGTTTGTGTACGAAGACTGTGAGGAAAACGAATCTAATGCAAGAATTGTTGCTATCCTCAATGTAGATGTGACGACAGGTTATGCAAAATAAGATAAATAAAAAATACATTAAAACAGCCCCCAGAAAGAGTAATAGCGCATTCGTTTCTCACCGCAGACACCAGCGGTACGGAGTTTAGCAAACATCTCAGCATCATTATGTTTGAATTTCACATAATTCCGTGCCGTGAAAAAATTGCAATATGCGCCAAATAGAAAGTTAAAAATTACACCGTTATACTATTCCAATTCCAAGTAGAATTCAGTCCGAGTTGGCTCATACTACTCAAGAATTACCCAAACGTCTTGGCAAGTATGAATGTTCAACGTTACCTAGTGTGAGAAAAGCGGCAAGATTGGCTGTATATGAAGAGACGATGATAAGTGTGAAGAACCACCACGCCGACGAGGCAATCCTGCCCGACAGCGCTCTACAAATACGTTTGGTTAAGGATACGATTACGATACTTTCTATGAGAAAAAGTCCTGCAGTATAAGTGATGTAAAGGTTAAGAATAGCGCAAGACTCCCAGTTTCCTTAACATACTTTGGTAGAATATCCGTGCCTTGTTGCATGAATGCAGCCAATGTGAACCATAACGAATTGTACATGGAAAATTCGTTTGAGACGGAAAATTCTCCACGATTGAACTGCACCCTCTGCTCGTATGGTGAGAACGACGAGACAAGGAATATTGTTAACGAAACCTTAAATAGTTATAGATTGATTGGAATCCTGTAGAGAAGACTTCTCTCTATTTATCTAAGGAATGAGTTAAAATTTGCGAAGTGCCTTTCTTGTATGAGCACTAACCCCGACGTACGAACAGACTGTGAGGATCCAAATGCGCATTCCAAGTGGTTCCATAAACGAGAAAATGTTGAACTCCTGTTTTTCTGGCTTCTTGATCATTATCGATATTCCTAGATTAAAACCACCGATAAAGTTTTGTAGCTAGAATTCGTGGCAAAGGTAATTTCTGTGGTCATCAAGCGGATTATGCAAACCAGTAGTCATGAATGGCTTCGAGAAGTCCACTGCTCTCTCCCTCTCTTGAGTGATCGTCAGCGGAGCAACGGCTATATCAGCAGTCTGCAAGGTTTGGGTGAAGTCTTTAGAAAAATGTTCATTGCACATCATGTTAAATGAAAACCGAAAGATTTTGCAATTCCAACTCGGTAAAAAAGTTGGTATTATGAGGGGAGATCTGTTTACGCTTGGTTCTACGATCTTTTCTTCTTCATCCAGCGTGTAATAATCTCTTCCTATATAAGTCTATAAACAATCTTTTACATTATTCCCCTTGAACCGATACGAAAAAGCTAACAAACAACTTCCACATATACACATTTCGTGTTGTTACTAAACGGACTTTCACTTAACCTCGGCGTGAATCATCAACATATCCCTGTGAATTGTTCTTGTTGTTCACGAGGTTGTTATGCGAGATTTGTCTGGTTAACGTTTCGACGTCTTCGTCTTCTTTAGAGTTGCATTTATTCGAGTGGATTCCCCACAACCGTTCGTTGTGGCGTCGAGCAGAATTCGATGGAGTGAACACTGCTCGAATGATTTTTTAACCTCTCCATCCTCTCCATACATTGAAGTGGTTGCCTGGAAGGATTAAAGCACTGGGCCAGATGTTCATTTAATGACCGCTGCAATGCTTAGTGAAGTCCAATGCAAGGCGCATCCATTAGGGATCATTCAACTGTAACAGTTTTTCCTTTAGTTGAGCTATGGTCTTTGATTGTAGCCAATTGACAACAATTTGCACTTTAAACAAGCTCATCTATCGAAAAGCGCTCTCAAAAGGGATGCCATATGAGTGTCACCGATAATGCAACATGCATCAGCACTTTTGCCAGGACTCATCTTTCCTTACAAGTTGTTTAAGAAAACAAGTTTTGAATGATTTCCAAAATGAAAGCCATATCAAGCCGTGTATACGACCACATACGTGAACTCTGGTGACCGTATTCTGAAGAACTGCCCCATATTATGCCAAAATCTGTCGTAAACAAGAAAAACTGTCATTGATGGAATTCTGGCGGAACTGTCTAATGTGAATATATTCCCACAAAAACCACAGCCGCTTTAGTTTCTGTTTAACTTCAAAAGCCGACCGATTCCACACAAAAAAAACATCCGGTACGTTGACAAGTCTCTCCGTGAAACTTGTCCGGCCTCTACTGGTCTCCTTTAGGAAGCCCTTTCACATCCGTTAAGTATTGCATCGTTCGACTATTACCTTTAATGGGCTGTAAAGGATCACTTACAATTGAAAACCTTTGACGATCCGCCATAAGCAGAAAATGAAAGCGGAGGATTTTCACACCTTGGTTACGTCAATTTTGAAGGACTGATTTCAAAAAACTTGAACAGCACTTTATTAGAGATGCTGAGACGAGAATTTTTTTTCAAACGACTTCACATCACTCATTATGCAGGACCACTTGACTTCGGCTCATCGTATTCGTCATTCATGAAGATCTTAGAGCATTTCGTGCGTTGTTTCGGTCGTTGTTTGAGGGCTTCACCTTTTTTATGAATGTCGTTCAATGCTGGTCGAGAAGATTCTGCCTGAACTCGTGGAATAGTCCGTGCTAGAGCCATCCTAAATCCTCACTTCAAACAGACGCCATCATTTGTGGGTCGGAGGGAGCGAGCTAGTGTAGAACATGCCTGTACCAATTTCCCACATGGTGGTCCCGATTGGCGCAGTTGAGGAAGAGGAGTTCGTTTTTCTTCCTATCCAGTGTGCGGTCAAACCAAGGTTATGCGAGTACTGAACGGTATCGCTACTAATGTGCTATCTGCGCATCTATTCACACTTGCCTTTAAACCAAAAAAATATTGCACTCTTGCAAAACTTCGCCCTCGTGATTTTTCTTCTGATTTTTAAAAAGATTGTAATCCTGCTTGACTACGTAATAACTCCTAGCGGAATCAAGAAAATGTTTACTCCATTGTCGCCATCGTTGTGCTGATTTCAAGTTGATTTCAAACCTCATTCAGTAGATAGCCAAGCATACCATCCCAGCTGCCGTCGGCTTGCCGGGCTCCGTATCTGTAGTAAAAAGCCTCAAATTTTCGTCTAACGTAGATCATATTTATATTCACGAAGTACTTTTTGTAAAAACTTTTGTCCTATTCTTGGCAATTCTCTACTTTACATTCATCTCATCTGCTCATTATTATTTACATCGGATAGTAAACGGAAAAAAGAGGTAACGAGTTGTTAACGCACTTGTTTCCTTCGGAAACGAAAATATCGTACTGAAATCCGGAGATGTTCTTCGCGAGCAGCTTCAACAAGTCGATACAGTAGCCCTCGAAGCGATCATTGCCTCTCGGTTCCGGTTCGCCAGGATTGCTTCGCCTCAACATCACGAATGGTTTCACCTCAAATGAAAGCCACAATAACATTATTATTGTTGATTCAAAATCACAGTGTAATTGATGCTTTTCTGATAAAAAATGCACGTTAAGAGACTGATTTCTCTCATAAAGAGATCTCATGCCGGTTAATCGCAAGGCAACGCGGCAACGTTCGTAGGTGGCGGATAGTGGCTAACCGCGGAACAAAAACAGCCACTGTTGCTTACCTAAGATACAGATGGATCAGGGGATGAACTTCCTGCTTTTGCCGCGTCAATTTGGCACATGCCTTCTGCATTTCAGAGGACATGCTCATGTGTGTGTGCGTGGGTGTGTTTTCGTCTATGGGGATTGTATTCTACGAGTTAATTCAGCTAAAGTCTGGAATCAGCTAACGGGGCAGTAAACTAGAGACGCTTAGGAGTTGCATGCGACAAGTAAGCTCCTCGTCTACTTTGGGAGAAGAAGAAATGTCGATGAATGCATGCTTTGAGAATCTTCGTCGTCAACGCACCGACACCAAGCTATGACGAAAACGAAGTCAACACATTCTTTAAGGTCAACATTTGAGATTTAAACAATAATATGGGAAATGGAAAGATGCCTCAAAAACGCCACACTGGGACCCATGGACAAGCATGGAACAAGTAGGGTGAACGTTTGTCTAAGTTTATCATGATGACAGAGACCATTCATGGTGACTCACAATTCTAGAAGCACCGCTCTCCATGCTTAATTTGAGAGTAGCCCAAATTAAAGTACAAGAACGACATAAACCACTTCATATTAAATACTATATTAATTATATTAAATAGAAGGTTTTGCTTTGTCGCTGTTGCCCCAAATTTCTACACAGGATTAGACCATCGTCTCCTTTGAGCAAGATCTCATTTTCCGCGGGAAGGAAAAAAGCCGCTAAATTCAAAAAACGAGGTCAGCTATACAGCTTGGCCGTTGGGAAGATGCTGAGGTGATTGATAGTATCGAGAAATAGGAGCAGCTCATTCAATATGTTTACGTTAGTGATATGAAAGGTGAAAAGTTCGAAGGTCACTAAGAGACCTCTGTCTCCATAAACACTCAAGCTGATACGCCAACGTGGAGTCTCACAAGATACAGAGAACCGCCAAAATAATGAAGATAGGCTATAAAAGAACATCTTAAGGAGAGAGCAGCAGCAGTTATGATCAAAGCTGCAGAGGCTGGGAAAAGCATTTGCAAAGTGCAGCGAAAGGCCGCCAATTACGAAACCAAGATGGTTGGACTCCAGCGACCAAACGGAACAGATACAGTGTCCAGAAATACAATGAAAAAAATGATTCACGACTAGTACTTGGATCTCTTCTGTACTCACGTCCATTTGCCTCATACGAAATAAAGGAGGATGGATATACCGGCTAACAAGTTCTTCCTTCTGAAACCTGAAATGCTATTTCGTCGGTGAAAAATTGAACAACACTAAGTCCGAAAAGGGTAAGATCTGAGCACCTGTAGAACTCCCCGCCAGTGCTCATAAGCACACTGGCTTGGCTATTCACACATTACATGTCAGAATGCAGCGTTCCTATACAATGGAAGACCAGCAAGATTGAAGGGCAGCCATGTGGTACATGGACTACATCCACGCAATAACAACATTCACTGAACTGTCTCAAGATTAGAAAAGGCAGAGATGTACAGCAATTACACCACCTGTTTTGGCTGATGACATCATTCTTGTAATACCAAGCATTACCCAGGTAGGACGACTGCTTATTGACTTTGGCAACGCCTGTAAATTTTGTAGGGATATCTTCGATTAAATCTCAGAAAAGCGATCTTCATGAGGAACGGATGCCTATGCCCCATTAACGCTCAACGCTACGAATGTCACCGAATGCTGCAGCTGCGTCTATCTTGGTTGGGAAATCAACATAATGAAGAACATAGCTCCAGAGATGAGCAGAAAGAAACGAACGGCTTGGGGAGCTTTCAAGAGCATCGAGGATGTAGTGAGGGGAACAAAGAACATACGACTTCGTGCCCTCCTTCTTGACTCCACGATTCCTCGTTCTTTAACGTAGGTGTCAAAACCGTGATGGCTGCGTAAGTAGGACGCATTTTTATTTCAAAATTACTCAGCTCTTTTGAACACACAGTCGAAAGGTCGATGGCAGGAGTGTCTCGTATCACGCAAGTGGAGGAAAGGGTCCGGAGCTCTGTTCTACGTCAAGAGTCAAAAGAATCAAGGATGGCGTTCTATACGTGAAAGCGTGAAACTGTTGAAGGTAAGGCGGGCGGAATGTGTAATGCAGATGAAAGACAACCGATGAACAACAACCTTTACACTTTCGATTCCTCGAGATATTAAACGTACTGCACAAAGACCATCGACCAGATGGTCAGAGTTGTTCACGAAAATCCTGGAAAAAGATATGATCTCAACGACCTGCTATCCGTAAAGCGAGCAGAACCCACTGGGCTATAAGATTTACTGGCATTCACTTGAGTCACTCGCTAACTAATGGAGCGACATTTTACAAGTGATAGAGGTGATGTGAAAAGACAAAATCATCTTGCGCTGTTTGTAAATGGATGTTGACCTATTAACTGAATCTTCACTTTAATTATTTTATGCTACCATAAATGTTTTTAAACAGATATAAAGTATATCATTTTGTAAGGACTACCAAATAAACTCACCAATACAGTGACTACGTTCAGCCTTAATTTCCACGGTTTGTTGGTGAGAATGCCTTTCTGGGTGACGCTTTTGTTTTGTTTGCTCTCCTGGGAAAATCGTTGTTTGTCTAGTAAAAAGCCTTTACCCTGAGCCCATTGAAATCTCTGTAATTATTACTTCAAGATAAGGATGATTATATTAGATCAACCATCAACTATGAACAAATTAAAATAAACCGAATCTGTTTCCTGGCACCAACCTCCTTGACACTGATCAGAGAATTCACATCGGGTCTAATCTCTATAATCGTAGCTGAGAAGTTCGTTCGAAAGCCAGTTTGAGGATCGAACTGAATTCGACCCGTGAGAGTTCCGTCGTCACTGGTGAGAACTACCTTAGAACAGGTAACTTCGTTATGCAAAGTTTATCTATCCATACAACACCTATAGCCGCAGTTTTGTGAATACCGCCTCTACTTGGCGCTTAATTTTTTGTCACTTCCGTTCCGAGTAGATTTAAACTCATATCGGCCCCTGTACCTATACCGAGCGTATTAGTCATGTACATCCTCCATGATACCAACAGTCTCTCTGATATTCTGCCGATTCAAAAGCTAATCAATCTGATGTCTGTTCGACAAACTACCTATTGAATGCAAAAAGTGTTGCAAAGAACCTCTTCTTTCTGGAAAAAAAAAGAAAAAAAGAAAATGAATCGAAACCAACTCATGACGGCAGGTACAAAGAGAAAATCCCACCTATCATCGTGTATCATATCGGTGCTGCTATTCTCTCACACGAATCTGGTGCCAGTTTTCCCGACTGCGGTGGGATTGACCACTTACTGAGCATCTGGGGTCTGGGATCGAACCAGCAATCAATCCGCCGTGTATTGCACGGCACCCTATGTGCCAGGTTGATCAGAGTACACGTAGAAAATCCTTTTGCAAAGCACATTAGGAGTTCGCTTCTTCTCTTGCTAAACCATTCCCTCCTATGCACGTTGCTTGAAAAAAAACCGTCCTTCAGATAATTTCAGCACATAAAGCGATACAAATCCTGCGGTGGTTAAGAAATTTCCCATTTTACCGGGCATTCAATATTTTGTGATTGCAGGGTCTGCATTTCCATAATCACAAGCTCATAGTCGTCTGTTGCCAACATTCCACGAAGACCTCAACGTTTTTCATTCGTGGGATTTCAATAGTTTACAAGCGGAGCATTCATATTACTGTTTTTCTGTACTCACTTCGATGGCTTACCTATATCGCTTCAATTGACAGCGGCTTGAATTACGTGAAGGCCGATCGCAAATCGATCTTAGCTGGATTTCTGCAAACCTATTCTTCTTAAAAACCTTGTCCTTCTTCACAGGTAATGTTTCATTATCCATACTTAGCGTCGACATCTGGCAATGAGAAGGTACTCTAAATCGGCATTCGTGGGACTAACGACTATTAGAAGTGCGTATATCCCTGCATAGACACAAATTTGTCCATTTGTACAGATCTGCACCGTATTCAATCTGCTTAATAAAAGATTTGTTTGTAAACGTATAACGTCATCGACATGGGCATATAAATGGGTGGATCCAGTGAAAGTTGGTCCCATGGCTTCATGAACGCCCATACTTTTTTAGTGCCGGCTACCAAATCCCCATTTAAAGTTCTGAGTTAAACTACACGGTTATAACGTCACAAATCCTCAAACTTTTTTGCTTCGGATTTCTAGGGAGATCAGTGAAAACCACACGTACTTCTTTGATCGATTCGGCAATTTTGTCTCCGAATTCAAACTGTTGAAACGGCCGATCTGGATAGTCTCTATCTTCGTGAGGTCGGCAGTACAAGCCAGGCAACCCGCGATTGAACAGTTGATGACGAGAGAAGCTCCTGAAGTTACGACTAAGTAACTCCTGATCGCTCACGTTGTACATCGCTGACATTGGCTCTTGCCTAATCGATACCTATGAACAAAGGTTATCAGGGAAATAGTAGTTAAAATTCAGAATTCTGTGAGAAATTAGTGATCAGTAAAAATGCTGGAAATATTTGGACCCAGATATTGCAATTCGAGAAGTACAAGTAAGAAGGAGATTTGGGTAGATCAGAACTCGTGCAATTCCTAGTGCAGTTCTATGGAGAGCTATGGCTCATGAACGCTATAGAAAGCGACTGTACTTGTTTCCAGATTATTCCTGCAGTAGGCTACAGTGATTGAGTGTGTTTATAGGTTCCGAGCTCCGATGTACAGCATAAAGTTCATCAGCCTGTCCCAAGTTGGGTAGTTTGACATTTTCGCAAGAATTTCAGCTAATTTTGAACTTATCTCACTATAGAACTAGTCGATGTGCCTGCGGCTGTTGTTACCTTCTCATAAAATCAAAACGCTGAAAAAACGTCATGCTAAATTGTGACCCTCTTCATGTATCCTAAAGGCTGTAGAGAACCCTTCTCGAATGCGACACGAACAAATGGAGTTCACTAGCACTCGCTTGAGTTAGTTGGTGACTAACGGGATCACAAATGATGCCGCTGATAAGGTAATGCCTTTTTTAACTCTAGCAGAATTCTTTGAGATTTCAATTGGTCTGGAGTCTGGTCGGTTGGTGATAACTTTTACTCTGAGTCATCTTAAAGTTAATGACCGTTTGAAAACTGCACTCGGCCTTCGTCTGATGACTTCCCTATTCAAATACTAATCGCTTGATGGGGATAGAAAAAGTTCTACTTTCTTTAAAATAAAGTGGAAGGTCTGCCGAAATTAGAGAAAAGTATAAACACTTAACAAAAAAGTTAGGATTTCGTTGAGGTTTTAATTGGTATTCGAATAGCAAAAATAAACAAGTTAATAAATTTATAACAGAATTTCAGATGATGGGAAATAGCTGGTGAATTCTAACGACATTCCTATAAGCGATGGAATTTTGGCGATAGGTATAAAAATCAGGCTTTAATGGCGCTGTCAGGAAGGTAGTGAATGAATGATAGTAAATATCAGATTTAGTACTGGAATTCCATGTAGCAATCACAAACAGAAAGAAATATTGGGAAAGATTTTTGAAGTGAACTAACCGATCAAATATAGTGAATCCATGTTTTTTCATAGTACGATCGAGAGCTGCAGCAGCGACAAGCAGAGCATCATGAGCAAAGGCAGTACTCGCCTGAAATGAAATGTCGAGGAGAAAGAGGACGGAAGAGAGAAGGACTAACGGTCATAATCCAGCATAACCACATACTGGTAAGTAGTCTCCAGTTGAAAGCCGCTCGCGGTACACGTCTTCGAACATTTTCTTGTTCTGGCTAAAATAAGTTGAGGATTAAACAAAATTCGTCCTCATTCGCATTCCGTGTCGAAGGCGAGTAGCAGAATGGCAGTGACGCCGATCATCACGAGCACGGTGCTGGTTCGGTCCCGCAACGGGACCACCAATCTCATCCCTCTGGAGTCAGGAAATTGGTACTGGAATTGGCCGAAAAAAGTCATTTTCTATAGCTGATGACTTGGAAGAAACCTTTCTGCGAAAAAAAACCATTCGCCTATAATTTGATTAGCAATTTATTGTTGTCTTCTTTGACTAATAAAGAAATGTGAAGTAGTTAAAAAGATTTCTTCTACTAACTGACGGGTGATTGCTGGCGTTAGGTAGAAGACTAGAAGAGGGAAACGCACAGCAAGGGCCTCCGCGGAGCAATGTGTAATGGGCGAGCTGCCGGGAAGGAAATCGTGGCTCGATCTGGTCCAGGGTCCAAACTTTACGAATATCTCAGCATCGTTGTGGTTGACCTACTAACGTTTCGACGTCTTCTTTTTTTTCAGAGCCGGTTTGATCTTAACCGATGGCATTGCTGCTTAATTTTAATTTCTATGATAACTGTGGATATGAAAATTTCAAAAAGCGCTCCAAAATTAAGCTTAACTTACTTCCAAATGCCGACAGTAAAGCACTTGCAATATGGACCATAGTAACAGATAGTAAATAGTAATGTACATAACATTCATACCCACAGAGCGATAGATCGACGTTTCTTCTACAACGCTGTCATGTTCAAAACTCTTAAAACCTCCTAGATATTGGGGAAAGATTTTTTATTGCCAAAAAACTAGAACTTCCGCGGCCAATGAAAAGTTGCGCGTGATAGGTCGAGGCAGCCACGAAAAAAGACGCCGGTGCGAAAGGAATGGATTAAAGGAACGGGTAACAATAGTAGCGATCCCCTTCATTTCGCAGACGGCTCAACCTGGAATGCGACCGATGACTGAAGAGTTTTATGCCTACTGTGCGAATCTCAGCACTTCTACCTTTCCTCGCATCCATCATCTACGAAGGCCTTCGCACCTTTTGTGTGTGGGAGTGGACTACTTGAGGATTTCCTCTTCGTCATGAATGTAGTTGAACGGTGGTCGAGTCGGTTCTCCCTAAAGAGTTGAGATAGCCGGACTAGAGCGTTCTTGCCTGGATTTCAGAGATAAAGTTGTGCCAGAACACCTTGGTGCTAATTTCGCGACCCCGTAATGATTAAAGGCTACGTGAGCCCGGATTGGAATCGAATCGGCACCACACCCAAGTTATTCACTACTAGTATTATTAGTTCTTCTAAAACAAGTTATTATCAACGAAGAATTAGCGCCAACAACCATCCTTTATAAAAGGACTCCGACCAGTGAGGTTACATCATTCCAGCGGTACTCCATCATATTCAACTCGATGCGCTCACCAACACCCATATAGGAAGGAAAAACTGTGACCAATCGCCTCGAATTAGTTCGACTCCGAAGAAGGTGAAGGCGCCAAAAGTTTAAACGAATAACGAAACGTTTCTTGTGAACCTCGTCTTAACCTGTGAATGAAAGGATATACATTAATTTCTGCTACTATTATTGCTGACATCAGCAAGCAGTTATTCTATCCTTAATCCTTCACTAATAGTACCACTAGAGCACATGCAACGCAGTGGTTGGGAATTTCCTGCAATATTAAAACGATTTCAAAACGGTTTGATTTCACACTTGGACCAAGTCAAGCCGACAGTTCGCCAAATTGGTACCAAACTTGTCTGCTAAAATAAGAACACTGATCGATAGACCTTCATAAGTAATTTTGTAGGTCAGAAATGCATTCAATCACCTATACAATACTACGAGTGGAGTCTAATGCGCAATGCATTTCCCAAAGGTTAATCGGTGCGAGTGCTCTATCCCTTATTCTTTACTCTTCTTGTCGTTCGAGCAAGTGAATCCACAAAAACAAATGAGCGGTTGAATAAATTTGTGATTGAAGCAATCACAGGTGATACACATCATTATTATTGTTGTTACGAATAAGAGTAGTTATCGCTCGCTGAGTTTTGAACAGTAGTAGAGATTCTCTCTCTTTATCATAAAGGGTAAGGATAAAGCTCTCGGTGTTGATCAATCCCTGAGGAATGCACCATGAATTCGGCTTCATTAAGGTATCGTTGGAAGTGATTGAATCCATATCTCGTCTTTACAATGACTCGCAATAGCCTACCGATGTATCGAGCCAGTACTGCTACCCTCCCAGACAAGTCTGGTAGCACTCACTTTGTGGACCCCAGAGAGATGAAAGGCTTGGTGTGCCATGAGCGTGAGGATCGATTCCGCGTGTGTGTCGCAGTGGCCAACCACTGCGGCACACGCACCCCTGCCTTCAGGATAATTAGTAAAATATTTTGTTTTATAGAAAAAAAAATGGAAAATGACAGAAGCCCACAGAAATTTTTTGTCAGCTCGATCAAAAATTTGGAAGCCAGTAACATTGATTAATGAGTAGTGAAAAGATGCTAATTCAGTATCCTCCATTTCCTGCAAGCAGACGCGATCTATCGTACAGAACTTGAGCTGCTATTTTAAACAGCATAAAACTTACAAAGCTTGCAAATACATAGTGGTACTCTTTCTTGACGAGAACGCTTTCATGAAGAGCTCTTAGAAACATTTCCGTACGAAAACCACCTTCCAGATCGACGATCACGTGCACCGGACTGAAATCACTGCTAAGTCAACCAGAATGCAGTTAACAATGTTACAGATCTTAATAACTCGAAAGACTGACTTTCTATAAACCTCGGCATAGATAGTTGATATATTTATTTATGTGGTCTTATCCGACAGCTGCGATAATAACTGGGAAGGAAAATGATCTGTAACAATGACATATTTATTTATGTGTTCTTATAAACTGATCTTCTTAAGCTGACGCGAGGTTGGTACAGATCTTCGTTGTCGTTGTCGTTGTTTTTGATGTTATTGATCGATGGCTGACGTTTCGGCGACTTCGCCTTCCTCGGAGCCTGGACGTATTTAATGTTAGAATACTTTTTATTATTCGGTGGAAAAGAAAGGTCAAAGTGTTAATGAAGATCAAACTTTCAAATAGACGCCATATTGAACAGAAAGGCCACTCACCGTGATGTTACGTGCGGGACTGGCCCACACGTAGTTCACGTGGGGTCGCGAGCAAGACACGCCCGGGGGTCAAAATATCATTTTGAAATAGTGCGCCAGGTCACGCGTGATAGTGAGGCATTCGCCTTTCCGGTTCTTCTTTGGATTTTTGAAATTTATCCAAAACGCCTCAAGAGTTTTGCGCGTTGATGTTTTTGATTCCTGCGCTATGATCTACACATTCACTTCAAAATCATCGCCGTTGTGCTTTTGTGCCCTATGCGTACCTAGAGGAGTGTTTAGACGGATCTTAGATTTTCCATCTAGATGTTCTTTTATGCGAACACAAAGTGGTCTACCCGTTTCCGCAATATATTCCTCGCCGCATGTGTCACATGAGATCAAGTATATTATACCTGAACTCATGCAATCCCCGTCTCTCCCGTTAGGACAGATCATACAGTTTTCTGAGCTGCACAAGCGATCATAGAGACGGTTTCGAACTAACTGGCAGCGTAGGGTATTGGGTGGGATGTCAATAATCGTTACATAATTTTCAAGACCACTTTTCTTAAGTACTTTTTAATGGCGCGACTTACTTCATTTGATATGAAGGGCAGCTTAAAGGAGATCTTACTTTCGTCTGAAATATTATTTTGGCAAACTACCCAATGTTTTCCTCTAACCCGAGTGGCTTCTACTTCGTAGCCATTGGAAATGGCAATTTTTCGTGCCAGGTTTCCCGATTCCTTCCTTTCCTCTTCTCCTGTACACACATTTTTAGCCGTACGGTACCTGTTTTTGATAAGTGCTTTTTTATGTGTGAAGGATGAGAGGAGAGGCAGTGGACTAGAATGTTTTTACTACTTGGCTTACGATACCATTTTGTTACACAGCCACTTACTGAGAGCTTTATTTGGATGTTTAAGAATGGAAGCCAGCTCTCGGTAGGTTTTTCTCGTGTAAATTTTATACACTGACTGTCGGTTTAATAATTCAAAGCACTCATCCATCTGCTCTTGTGTGGAACAGACGATGAAGCAGTCGTCTATGTATCGACAGTAGAGTAAGGGTCGGTGATCGAGAACTGGAGGTTCCACCTTAGACATGAAAGCGATGGCAAGGCTTGGTGCAAACGCTGCCCCATCGCCAACCCTCTAATTTGTGCAAAATATTTTCCAGACCACCTAAAGATTGAACAACTAAGACACTGTTTTGAGAGGGTCATTAGTTGCGCAACCGACAAGCCGTGCATTTTTATTTTCTTTTCATGCTCTACGAGCAACTCGAGAATGGCTTGCATTGCGGAGTCATTGGACACGTTAGTATAAAGTGAACTAATATCGAATGACTCCATTATATGCGTGCTGTTTGGTTGCGCGCGCCTTAGGTGATCCAGAAATATTTTGGTGTTAGGTAGATGGGTTGGAATGAATTTTAGCACCTGGGTTAGGATAAGGTTTAGCAACCACGTTATTCTATCCGTTGGCCCGCCTATACAACTGATGATAGGTCTAACTTTATATGATGATGGATTCGTTGGCGTAATATCATCAGCTGAAGTAAGCTTATGTGTTTTAATAAGCAAGTAAAGGACATGGCAAATCGGGTGTTCGTCCTTAAGTCGAGAAACAACTGAAGGCTCTAAACCCGCGGCCTTTGCCGTGCTGACCTATTCTTGATTCAGTTTTCGGTGTTGATTTCTGTATTCCTTTTCAGAGGATGTTCGATAGAGAGAAACATCACTGAGGTGCTCCTCTGTTATCATAATATCCAACTGACTAGGAAGAACTACAAATTCTCCGCCTTTATCACTAATGGAAAGTCTAACAGATTTTGAATTCAAAAGCTCTCTTACCTGGCGCATTGGTTTCTGAGGTTGGAGCTTCTTTTTCGTTTTTGGTAGTGATTAAGTATGCGGAGAATTTCGTCCGAAAATAAACGAAATGTAGGGTCAATATCGCTATTTGGTAGCTCTTGTTTAAAGAAAGTTCGGGGAAAGGGTATTGGTGGTAGTTCCCCCTTGATACTACTTTTTACCTAACCTTTCTAGCCTAACCCTGTAACGTAGCTGATCTTGAAGTTCATGCAGACTACACGTGATCCTGCGCAGGATTGATTTAGAAATGGGTTGGCTAGGTGCAAAACTCGGACCCAATTCTAACAAGGAACGCACATTTTCCAGAGGCGTTACACATCCTAGCACAGTAACTCTGGATGTTCTTAGTGTGCAGTCTATTTCAGGGCTTTTACTTGAGACTTGACCAGCGGTGGTCCTTTCATTTGACCTTTTCGAGCGGCGTGATAGATCTTCAAACTTTTTCCTTTGCTTGCTCTTAATATCACACCGAGTCTTTCCGCATACCGATTTAGACCCAGCTACTATTCTCTTCCAAAGATTTTTCTCCAAATGCTGAGTACAATGGTTTTCTTTGTACACACATTTGTTTAATAGTGAAAACATTTCGTTTTGTGTGCACCGCAATGAAATGCGTAGCAGTTTCAAAACCTACCGAGAACTGGCTTCCATTCTTAAACATCCAAATAAAGCTCTCGGTAAGTGGCTATTTAACAAAATGGTATCGCAAGCCAAGTAGTAAGAACATTCTAGTCCACTGCCTCTCCTCTCATCCTTCACACATAAAAAAGCACTTATCAAAAACAGGTACCGTACGGCTAAAAATGTGTGTACAGGAGAAGAGGAAAGGAAGGAATCGCAAAACCTGGCACGAAAAATTGTCATTTCCAATGGCTACGAAGTAGAAGCCACTCGGGTTAGAGGAAAACGTTGGGTAGTTTGCCAAAATAATATTTCAGACGAAAGTAAGATCTCCTTTAAGCTGCCCTTCATATCAAATGAAGTAAGTCACGCCATTAAAAAGTGCTTAAGAAAAGTGGTCTTGAAAATTATGTAACGATTATTGACATCCCACCCAATACCCTACGCTGCCAGTTAGTTCGAAACCGTCTCTATGATCGTTTGTGCAGCTCAGAAAACTGTATGATCTGTCCTAACGGGAGAGACGGGATTGCATGAGTTTAGGGATAATATACTTGATCTCATGTAATGCATGCGGCGAGGAATATATCGTGGAAACGAGTAGACCACTTTGTGTCCGCATAAAAGAACATCTAGATGGAAAATCTAAGATCCGTCTAAACACTCCTCTAGGTACGCATANTAAAAAGTGCTTAAGAAAAGTGGTCTTGAAAATTATGTAACGATTATTGACATCCCACCCAATACCCTACGCTGCCAGTTAGTTCGAAACCGTCTCTATGATCGTTTGTGCAGCTCAGAAAACTGTATGATCTGTCCTAACGGGAGAGACGGGGATTGCATGAGTTTAGGTATAATATACTTGATCTCATGTAATGCATGCGGCGAGGAATATATCGTGGAAACGAGTAGACCACTTTGTGTCCGCATAAAAGAACATCTAGATGGAAAATCTAAGATCCGTCTAAACACTCCTCTAGGTACGCATAGGGCACAAAAGCACAACGGCGATGATTTTGAAGTGAATGTGTAGATCATAGCGCAGGAATCAAAAACATCAACGCGCAAAACTCTTGAGGCGTTTTGGATAAATTTCAAAAATCCAAAGAAGAACCGGAAAGGCGAATGCCTCACTATCACGCGTGACCTGGCGCACTATTTCAAAATGATATTTTGACCCCCGGGCGTGTCTTGCTCGCGACCCCACGTGAACTACGTGTGGGCCAGTCCCGCACGTAACATCACGGTGAGTGGCCTTTCTGTTCAATATGGCGTCTATTTGAAAGTTTGATCTTCATTAACACTTTGACCTTTCTTTTCCACCGAATAATAAAAAGTATTCTAACATTAAATACGTCCAGGCTCCGAGGAAGGCGAAGTCGCCGAAACGTCAGCCATCGATCAATAACATCAAAAACAACGACAACGACAACGAAGATCTGTACCAACCTCGCGTCAGCTTAAGAAGATCAGTTTATAAGAACACATAAATAAATATGTCATTGTTACAGATCATTTTCCTTTCCAGTTATTATCGCAGCTGTCGGCATAAGCTGCCAACAATTGTCCACATTTTGTCTCTGTCAGCACGACCTGTTATCTCTGAAGCTATGGCCATCATCAATACTTACCGTACAATATTGGTAATATCATAATTGGAGAGGCTTTCATTTCTCATTTGCGACAGTGATAGGCGTCTGTGTAAGTCGTTGAGAAACTCGCGGAAGAATTCCTCATCAGCAGGAGCCTTAAGAACATGTTCTTAATTATTTTTCTTTCATCGACAGCTTTTCGTTCGTAGAGAAGTAGGCACCGATTTTTCACGCGGGGGCCAAATGGAAATTAGTTTGCAGTAGTGGTAGTACTCTTCACAAAGAAAACGAAGTGAACAATAGCATGCGTAGATACCTGGTATTTGTTTATGTGTATGACACATAACACGCTCTATGACAAAACTACGCCAAATGTTTTTTATCAGTATCTTCAAAAAGGTTAGGCTAATTGAACGAATTTTATCCATTCTTCACTTACACGAAAGAAAGAATTGACTTGAGGGAGTTTCCATTGTCTGTATTTTGAGCCATATTTCCACTTAGGCCTAGACTTATCACTGCAGTTGTGGGTGACTATAAATGTCGAACGATAATGTGCAGCGGTAATCACCTCTAGCTAAATCACTCAGGCTGATTAAAGGATTCGGCATCGCTGCCTAAAAATCCTTGCAGCAGTAAACCAGTGCAAGGAATCACTAGAATCATGGAAGAAACCTTGTCGCATGATGACAAGCTCCCATCTGGTTTGGAAAGGTTGAAAAGTGTTTGAGCTGGAGCTGGTCATTTTACGAAAACATATGTTTATCAATCCAGTAGCATAGCGCTTGGATAAAAAGTGCTAGAAAACGTGGCATTCTTTGTGAAAATAGGGAAGAATCTATGTATTCAAAGAATTTCACTCACTCTGAAATTGTCAACGAATAAATTATACTCTGGGCTGTTCTCATTCAGATACTCGAACATACCGTGTAGAGTTCGATCTGCTATAATGAATGATTTCTTGTTGTCGAACAAAAGTAAAGAGTCTGATGAACAGGAAATGACATGAGGAAATGAAGGATGGTGTCCATTTATTCCTAACCGTTAGCTCCGTCGTGGATGTAAACAATATGTGACCATCCCTTGTATTTGATGTAGTCTACAAGAAGCTGATCAATTGCCGGTCTGACAGAAAATGTCATCGGAGAACGTTTAGCATCTGCCGATCGGACATCCGAAACTTCCCAATCGACCAATGGTACCTGCAATCTCTTCCTGCTTACACATATATACTACCTGTTTTTTTTTTCCAACTTTTAGAAAGCACTACCACATCCAGCTCTTCAAAAAATTGTTCCTTATGCTTAAATATTAACGAAGCGTGGAAATATGAAATCTTTTCTGCGCCTCCATGAGGATCTATGCTTTTTTAGAAGAACAAACGTAGACCATCATCGAATCCGCAATCGATTGGTAGACACCGTAGTTGTATGAGTGAGTGCCAGCCAGCATCGTCATAAAGCCGAGCTTCATCTCGTCACATACTATAAACGAGCACCATCAGCTTTTTCAATAGAAACGACTTCTCTCAACTATTATATTCAAGTTGAAAATCTCACGGTTTTTATGAAATTTGCGGGCTCGTATAAAATATGGTGAAATGGTTATGTCAAGTGGCAGAGACAGTGGGATATGGTACATTTACCAAAAGAAATTCAGGAAATAGGTGAGTGCCGCAACTAACCATTTATAATGGCCACGAAACCTTAGCTCGGAATAGGTGTAGAGGAAAGCCCAACCCTCCAAATGACAACTCTACAATCATAAGGTCCGTTTTTCCTGCTTTTCATTTCAGATATAATAAGTACAGCTATAAAACGCTGCTTATGAAGGGCCCGTCGAGAGAATTCGGTAACTTTAGTTGAAATTCCACAGAGTACTCTAAGACACTGACTTTATTACTCCTAATCCAACATCTGAACCAAGCACTTCAAGAAGCCAGTTAGTTCGTAATCGCTTGTGTGACCATCTATGTGCAACGCTTATTTGCATAATTTGCCCTAACGGTACAGATGGTGATTGCATGAGTTCCGGTACAGTTTATCTGATCTTTTGTAAAGCGAGCGGAGAGGAATAGATTGGCGAAACAGGTAAACACTCTGTGTCCGTATAAGAGAACTTTTAGTAGGTAAACTTAAACCAAATACTCCACTAGCCACGCATAGGACGCAAAGACATAACGGGAAGGACTTTGAAGTAAGGGTTACGATCCTCTCATAGGAATCAGAAACACATACGAGCAAAACTCTCGGGGCGTTCTGGATTAATTCCAAGAAACCGAAAGTGAACAGCAGGTAGGAATGTCTCATAATCACGCTTCTTTTTGGACAGTATCTAAATCTGTTATTCTGATAGGAGGGACACATTACGCTTCCATGTGAACTCTGCATGGTTGCTGTCTCCCTGCCACGAAAATTCGAGGACCTCGGAGGTTGAGTGGTGCGAGGAAGCGAACTGAATTGTTGAAGTGGTAGGAACAGCACAACACATGTGAAGAAGGGTCGTGTAGAAAAAAAACAAAGGACACAACTCTTTTGCTTGCATTTTCCTTTAATAACTCTGACTAAGGTGTATCTTACTAATTCTGTTCAGATTCCACATCATCGTGCTGCTCTGAAGCGGAGGAAGGGCACGCGTACCGAGCACGACATCAACGATGGCATCAGGACGAGAATTGAACGTCAACACAGCCAAACGAAGCATCTGAATGTAGTGCTTCTTATCTGGCTACTCAAAAACCATAGAATGATCAATGTGATGAGGAGTGAATTTTTGTTCTGCTCTTAAAATCTTCTATTTTTGTCTATGTATACCGCTTCTATCCCTTGAAACACCCCATATCCTTTGTATGAAAAGAACACTTACTTCCTTTGAATTCAGTTATAGTGAAAGTGCATCACAGCCATATGTAACAGCTACAATCTGCTCCATTCAACTTCAGGAGATTTTTACATTTAAACAGTAACTTCAAACAAAAAAATTTGCAGATAGTTTTATGGTGGAGCCTTTTCGTGTTTTTGTCTCCTTTTCTCATTCAGAGTCATATGTCCCATATTCTAACGGCATGAGTTCTTACCTCAATTGTGGCGTATGCAGTAGCGTTATCCGTCTCAGAGACGTCTACAAACGCTCCTGAAACCTTCCATTTTCTAATACAATTACTTTTTTAAAAATTTTGTTAACCAAATTTTTTCACTAGCATTTCCTGAAAATTTTGAAATAGTGATTTCTCATGAGGCAATTTCATCGGCGAAAATATCAGGCACGTTGAGAAATAAGGACCGTTTCTGTCGTCATAACATTTCTAATGAGGGTGTCATAAGAACTTGTTGCTTTCAAAAAGCTAACTTAAGGCTGTTGGAACAATACCTTGTTGTAGCTATGTTTCGAGATTGTTCCAGTCCACTGGAGGTGATGACGTAGTGCCACAGTGCAAAAATAATTGATGGATTGTCGACTTAAATCACCGTGGCACTGATGAAAGCGACACTACAGAAGCGGTTGCCACAATAAAGTTTTGTTACAAACTGTAGTTTGTTTGCCAGTACAGCAAGGAATTGCCTATTTATAAAACGTGAAGAATAAAGCATTTGGCGTTGATCTATCTCGGAGGGATGCATCATGCATTCCCCTTCATAAGCATCGCCAGAGCTGATTAAACGCATATCTGGCTTATACATGTCTTCAGATGGCCTACCTATTATTGCCTCAGTTTTGTTATCCTCCCAGATTAGTCCGGCGATAATTTCCGAGGAAGGACAACCATTAGCTACCCGAGGACCCAGTGTAGTAATAAAGACCACGTGTGCATTGCATAGGGCCTCTAACCATTGTTCCACACGTGCTTTCGATTACTGCCAGTGAGGTCAAATGAAGCCTGGTTTTCAAAAAGATGTTATGCTTACACTGTTGCTGTATTTTTTTTTCAAACACTGCCTTCTACTTGATTATTTTCCATGTAACACTTTTGTCCAACCGTTAGCCTACAATGATTTTTGGCTCGTTGAATTGATGCTCTCAACAAAAAACGCATTGCTTCTCTTTATGAGTTCAAACGTCGACATGTAGTGACGGTAGCAACTCGAAATGTCATCAAAGTGTGTGGTTATGGAAAAGTACTCGAATTCCTGATCTAAAAATAGTCGGAATGGTTTCTTGCAACAGGTTATGAGCCTGTATGACGGTGAAGATAAAGTGCGCATAAATGACAACCACTTCTGACAGCAATAATCGAAACTGCCCTTCCAAAAACTAACTTGCGAGTTTAGAAGAGTCTGCCATTCGGAAGCCATCGGGAAGTGAAAAACGTCGACAATTGGGTGCTAAACGGATTGAACGAAAGGGTACGAGTTTGATATCATGTGGTTAGTTACTTCGCTCAACATAAACGACTATTTCTTTAGTGAGTTGTGAGGTGACGAGAAAATGATCTTTGCCGATGATTGTTTAAAGATTGTAGGAATTTCCATAGAAAAATTTCACCTAAAAGATTGTTACGACTTTTTCAGTTGTCATCCAAGCCTCCTATTTCACAAATTTGTGAACAGTTCTGTAAGGGTGCTTTGTATAGGAAACAATTGTTCACTTTCTGCGTTAGCTTCTTTATTTATTGCCTATTGTTTTTTGTGGCAAGGTACCACATAAAGTACAACCACAAGAATGTTGAGATTTGAGCAAAGCTCGGAACCTCATTTGGACCTCAAACCAGCGATTACCCATTCCGAGGCTCGTGTGTTACTCAATGTATTACTGAGGCACCTCGTTTGCCTTTCTCTCAACTAGTTTTTTACCTAACAATGCCATCAGCAATCACCCATCAAAGAAAATCATATGAGAAGCATAAATGGGCATTAAAGCCAGTTAAGCTGAAGCCACAGTCTAAATCACATTATCTTACTTTTTATTCACTGTCTATTCTTGTGTGATAGCAGCGATAGAATAAAAACATGGCTTAGGGAAAGACAAAGCAAGGATTCCAGTTGGTATTTTGGATAGCTCGTGGGCCCTGAGAAAGATAATTGCGATTTGGCGACAGCCTTGAGGTTCCGAGTTCTGCTCATATCTCAGCATCTTTACGTCAAGCAGTATTTTTTATTTCAGATCAAATCACAGAGATAAGCAATACCTATAAAAAGTGAATAACTTCGAAATCCATATTAGTAAAATGCATAGGACGGAGAAGGAAAACTCACTCAGGGGGACTTTTCGAGAAGCACTAGTGAAAAGCACCAACAGCTTCAGGAGAATGAGGAATTCCCGCGTCCTCTTCCTATTCATATATTACACCAGCGATAGTACCGAGTTGCAAATCCTGAAAAAAAGTGAGGTATTCTGGTGAAAGAATTATGGCACAGATATTTCAGAAACCAACTTTGCTTTAACCGCGGCATAACTCAATATGTGCCGTTTCATTGATAAACTCATACATGGTTGACACAAAACTTTATTCGCTTGAATTTTAGCCGAATAAAGTGTGCTACGGATGGCTCATTGTCAGCGTAATGACGTCATGATACAGTAACAATAACGTGCACACTTTCCAAAAACAAAGGGAAATTTAAAATTTCTGGATTTTTAAGCTCTATAGATAGCCACTTGTCTATGAAAAGGAGGAAAAACACTGAACAAAAAATGAGAATGAGTACATGGAACAAAGTGGAAATAACGAAATCCAATATTGACGATATTTACAAAATTGAAGTAAAAAGACAGAGGAACAAGCGTCGTCTTATGACGTATTAGCAAGAAAAAAGCTATGACCGTTTATCGTTCCGCAAAAACAAGAAAGAAGAGGGTCTCGCTTATTGCGGTCAGCGATCGAGCGGACACGAAGAGAGGCTAGACCGCCTGTCAGTAACAATTTTAGAAAATGAGCCTTGCAACCCTAAAGCCCCAAGGGGCACACAGGAATTGATGCAAATTATGAGGTTCAGTTGGCCGAAAATAAAGTGGAATGCAGGCGGTTGATAGATTTTCTTCCACTGAAACCTCCACTATCGGACGGAAACTTCCATTAACTAGATTGAGATAAGAAATCACAATCGTCTCCCATTCTTTCAAAAGAAAATTTATTTCAGAACTAATTTTCTTGTTCCCACTAAATCGACCGCTTTCAGAGCTTTTCGAGCAATCATCAAATGTAGAAGGACAGAATCATGTTAAGCATAGAACGAGATTAACCGAAAACTCGAGAACCCCATAAATAAACTCGTACTAGCATCAGCAAACTCCCAAGGGATGTATACCTTTTCCAAAACCACTTAATCCTTTGAAAAGTTTTTCAAGACATGAGCTAATGTATGGCTTAGAAAAGGACGTCGTAAAAGATCAATTGCGATCCCTTCTACAGGTTTGAACTCCTTGAACACATTTTTCGTTGCTCATTCTATTTCTGGTTTTGCTTATAGACGTTTCTGATGGATGTGGTGGATTTACTACTTATTCAATCATAAGGTGATCAATGATAGAATCACGATCATATATATATTAGGTTGTAACATTTGAAATGTCCGATTTTAAATGTAAAATTTGAATAAACATAGCTTTCTTCGTACTAAATTTTATTTACTAAAATAGGCACCATTATAATCAGCGTTTTTTCCAACAAGGAACAAGTTCTTTTATTCCAGTTGTATAAAATTCTGCATTTCTGGAAGCGATGGATTCGTTGAAGACATTTTTTGCCTCGTCGCGATTTGTAAAGCATTTTTCGCCTTGTCTAGGCGTTTGTAGAAATGACAGTCTGTAGGCGAGAGCCTGGTGAATATGGTGGGTGAGGCAAGTTTCGTAGACGAACTCATTCAACTTCTGTCGGGTTGGTTCCCCAACGTGAAGCCGGGCGTTGTTGTGGGAAAGCATTGGTCCTTTTCTGTTGACTAATACCGATCGTTGTTGTTGGATTTTACCGTGCACTTTGTCGATTTGATGGCAATACTCCTCTGCTGTAGTCGTTCTGCCCAGATTCAAAAAGCTGTGATGAATCAGCCAGATTGCAGACCACCAAAAATCACCATAACCCTTTTTTGGTACAATTTCAGCTTTGAGAAGTGCTGTGGAGCCAGGCTGCAACCCAACCATTGAGTTGAACGTTGCCGGTTGTTGTAAAGAATCCACTTATCTTAGTTGCACGTCACAATTCAATCAAGAAATAGGTCGTTTTTGTTGCGCAGAATAAAAGCAGACGAAAGAGCGATTTTTTTTTATTATCGTTTAATTCGTGCGACACCCTCATGTCAAGTTTTTACCATTCCTATGCCATTCAAGTGAGTGGAAATTGTTTCTGTGCTTACGCCGAGCTCTTCTACAAGCTCTCGAACAGTTGTTCGCGTGTTTGCCTCCACTATTACCTTCTTGTCGTAAAGTTCGTTGAGTTGTCCGTGGCCTTCCTTAGTCTCGAGGTTGAAATCCCCAGATTGGAATTCCAGGAACCATGTAACCATATTCGCACAGTTGATTCACCTCAAACTAGATGATATTCAGAGCTGCTGCCGCTGCATTATGTTCACTCTTCCTTCCACTCATACAAAAAAGCACACGAATATCATTTTGCTTCATGAATAAAAAAAGATAAAGCTCTCGGCGTTAACCAATCCCTGAGGGATGCGCCATGCATTCGACTTTATTAAGTATCGTTGGAGGTGATTGAATTCATATCTGGCTCTTACAATGACTTGCCGTGGCCTACCGATGTATCGAGCCAGTGCCGCTATCCTCTCAGACAAGTCTGGTACCAATTTGCCGTCCCCGGAGGAATGGAAGGATTGATGGGCCATGGGCTGGGTTCGATTCCACATGTGTGTTGCACGGTGCCCCCAACCATTGCGCCACACGCGCCCTCGTTGATTCATGCTAAAGTTAAAACCTATAAAAATGTTAAAATAGTAAATCTTGAAAAAAACCAGTGCAAGACATAGAAAGAGCCGAGTTTGTGCTTCAGAAATATACATTAAACACACATGAAAATCAAAATTTTCGTTTGAAAAAATTGCACGGAATATTAAAACAATGAAATCGGACATTTCATATGCACCAAGCTAATGGATATCCTGTTGGCGATCCTAACTTTGAGATATCCTTGTGATTCCTGACTTCGTCTTCCTGGCTTATGTGCCTTTTGGCGAGTTCGGGTAATT